GGGGGGGGGGGGGAAGTGGGACCTCTCTGCCTTCAATACGCGTTTGATATAGATCTAAGTAAATGTGATGCTGGCGGAAGCTTTCTATGGTTTGCTGTCCGACGGCTTCAAGGATGGACGCCGGGCGGCCTTTAGCGGTGTAGGCGCCGGTATGTTCAATGAATGATGACAGCCTGCCATAACCTGCTGCAGTAATGCGCTCGAATTTTGGAGCAGGTAGTTGAGGGTGATACCTTAGGGGGTATTTCAAGGGCGAGGAGGTAGCTCCAATTATGATCAACAAACTGCTCGCTTTCAAACTCGAATTCTCCAAATTCCAAGGATATTTTGAAGAGACGTTTGCATACGTGGCTTGATGTGGGTTCGTCCCCATCGCAGTTTCCTGTGAAATAAAAGATTGGCCGTACTGACGGGCTTACTCCATGATATTTTCGATATGAGGCAGGCGCGGTGTTCGCGGATCGCTGCTCTTCTGTGATTTCGAGCTGTCTCCAGCACTAAGATTGTTACTGGTCCTCTGTAGTTTTCTCCTCTTCCTCGCCATAATACATTCCACATGACCGATGAACCCTGGAGCAGTCCGATAGGCTGGAATGTCGTCATACATATGTACTGCAAATTACTTCGAAGTGGTAAGTATCAGGCTCCAAAACGACCATGATACTTCAACTTCATTGCAATTCAGCAGTATTCATTTGAAACGGGGTTCGGAAATTTCGAGAAGCAAAAGAAGGGCGAAAAAATAGCTAAATTTGCAGTAGAAATGGGTAGAATGCAGGTAGGTCCGCATTTCGGCGACTAATTATAGCGGCGTCATCGATCGGGCGTACAATCAGCTGGATGGGCAGTGGGTAAGCTGACTAGCATTGTCATGAGGTTGAATCAGTTGGACGAGTTGCCCAGCTCACGAACTCAGTCAAAGAAGTAATTACGAGCCTATGCGCCCCAACGGCAAGGTGGGTGCGAGGGGCCGCGCCAAACGGCCGCTTCCCCCCATTCAGTGTCCTCGGCCGTAGGTCACCGGGTTGAGTAAGTCGGAGTTGGTGATGAGGTCCACCAAAACGTGACGTCGTCCTTGCCTGCTGTAATCGGGGAACCAGAGCAACACAGAGTCTTGAGTACGGTCGTGCGCGGTTTTTATACGTTCTCAGATTTATCTCGCCGCGTTTGAAAGCATAAGATGAAGCTGGGAATTAATGTGAAAGCGAACTCAACTGTAAATATCAACCGTACCGTAAACCTCGGGGCTAATACATGTACTCTAATAACTCATGCTTTACACAGGCTATACAAAGCCTAAATCATGCTCTGACGAGGAAATACATTTGCAAAGTTTCACGCAAGAAGAAGAAGCAAGAAAAGTGAGTGATAAGAAATTAGGTTCAAAGTAAATGCATATAAATATACAACAAAACCACCCTTTCCAGCTACGAAATGACGGAGTACGAATTATATATGTTGTCGTGGGAGTAGACCATTCACTTTACAAAAGTCGATTGGGGAGAATCAACAATATTGCCGGAAGCGATAACAACATCATATTTGCAGGCGGATTTGATGTTTGTCATTTTATTGTTGAATTTAAAGTATATTGGATCGTTCCGAAAGTCGTAATGCGCCTCTAGTCATGCCATCGAATTCTCAAAAGAAACTCTTCCAGTTGAAGAGATAATTCCTTGTTATAAGAACTAGAAGCACAGAGCGAGGGAGGTTTTGTGTCTCTGTGAGATTACAGTTTAGGGGGAGAGGTGAGATAAACTCTTCTGTATTATTGATCTGGTTGTATTCATCCCGCTAGGACGGATGTTCTAATTTTAAGACGTCTTTTTCTTGTGGTCGACTACCAATCGTTCTGACGCTCGGCGTGACCTGACTCGACGTTGTTGTCACTGTCGTGGAAACGTCATTCGAAGTTGAAAATATGATCGAAATTGTCGCGATGCGACGAGAGGGAAGCCGCGTGCGAAGAAATGTGGCAAAATGAAGCAGCAGGTAAGTAATACAGAAACAAAAGAGCTGACAGTAGAATCATGCCTTAAATAATGATCGCATATGGATTTGGCTGTACGAATAACGCTAGAGCTGTAATAACGGCGAAGCGAATGGCCTGCGATGGCCGCCTGCGGCGAATCGACTATACAAAACCGATCCTATTGCCCGTCTCCTAGTGTGACATGGCTGCAGCCAGGGCGGCGCTGCGGGAGATGGGCCGTAGGAACGATTTTGTGTAATCGATCCGCCGCACGCGGCTGTCGCGGACCATTTGCTTCATTATAACAGTTCTAGCATCCTTCACACAGCTCAATCTCGCGCGTTTGAAAACATAAGATGAAGCTGGGAATTAATGTGAAGGCAAACTCAACTGTAAATATCAACCGTACCGTGAACCTCGAGGCTAATACATGTACTCTGTTAACGCTATGCGATTATTATTTTTGGCATGATTCTAATGATAGCTCTCTTGTTCCTGTATTTCTTACTTGCTGCTGCAGTCTGCTACATTCCTTCGCACGCGACATCTTTCTCGCCGCTACGCCACAATTGTGTCCCTTCAGCACCACACCTGGCGCTTGCCCCTTGTTTACAACTGAATCTTGACCGATACCGCGGACCAAGTTTTCCCTCGGCCGGCGGACTATGAAAGCAGTCAGTGGTTGATTGTGTTTCGTCCGCGAATCAGATGACCTCTAAATCGTTAATGGGCACGGCGGCTGCGGTTGTTCGACGAATTCTGACGTTGACTCTGTAATAACGGGATATTTGGTAGTGAGTCGCCAAATTGAATTGCCTTGTCGCGCTGCCGATCGTACTGGCCTCCCTCTTCTGGTTGCGATTGTTGTCCTTTGATGTAACAGAATGAGACTCGGATAGGTCTTCCAAGAAATGCATCTGACTCCTTCGAGTGAAAGGCACGGAGTTCGGCGGTAGGTCCGGAGAAACTCCTTTGAAGCTTAGCCGACGATGAGTCTTCCTGCATCTTTTCGAAATTTTTCTTGAATGTGACGGCTAAGCGCTCTGCCGCACCCATTAGATTGCGTGTCGAACGGTGGCCACTTGAGGTGTCGGATACTATTTTGTTAAAAAATCGCCGAATTCCTTAAACGAACATTGAAGTCCCTTTTCAATCGCTGCCATTTGTGGATATCCAAACTGAGCGAAGAGCCGACGGAATTCTCTGTGGTAATAGATGACTTTCGAAAATCCCTGACGGTTTTGAATAGACGAAGGCGATGGCGATAATGTAACACATTTTTGCGTTTATCGGACCGCAAATCGGCGAGCATTCAATGCGACGTCCCGTCCTCGGATGGCCATGGTGAGAGTGTCGCCTTGACTGGTTTTTTGCAGACTTCTGACAATTAGTACGAGCTCAAACAAAATTTTCGATGTCCTAGTTGATGTCCATCTAGTTTACGCAGTTAGTGACCTGCATCTTCGTTCGACAAGCAATGGAGTTTTATCACGCAGGAAGACCGTTCGACTTTTGACGCGAAGGAATCCCTCCTGCATTGATAGCGATTCTCTGAGGCAGTTGAATGTTCGTGAGTCGATTTGTCTCGACAAGGCCTGGATCTATGCAGCAAAAGAATTCTTTTCGATGGCTGCATTCACCTGAACTTTCCTGAGTTGCCATGCTCTTCGCGATGTGGCAATCTAAGGTGTCCAATCGTCCAAAATTGGTAATGCTTCGGCACTCGGTGGTCCAGTGATAATTCATCACCATATAAGCCCAGATGTCGATTGGCCGTGTACACCGGCACTTTTTTCTTCCAAAGACGGCAAGCAGTGGCTTCCGATCTGTTAGCAGCTTGAACAGACGTCCGTAAATGTTGAGGCGCAACTTTCGCAAGACGGACGTGATGACGAGCGTTTCGAAGAGCTGACTAATCACTGGATTGACGCGGTGATCTGATGCGTCGGCTGCTACGACGATTTCCTTCGTAGTATCGGTGAGTGAGCAGGGGGTCTGAGGCGAGCACATCCATTTCTTCCATCGGAATCCTTTGAAAGGATTCTTGGCTCCTGGTGGATTATATGAGCTACCCGCCGCTCTTTGGTAGTGCTTTTAACGGTGTTTTAACGCCCGTAGTTGTGACATCTCACTGATGAAGTAGTATCAGGTATCAGTTGCGCATCTCGGTAAGGAACGTATGTGTCCTTTGCATGGTATCTAACGGATCGCCTCGATCTTGTTAGCTGCTGGGCAACTCTCTTATAAAAAATTACGGTCGTATCTTTCGCTGTATCTCTGGCTCAACACAATAAATGCGATTAAATGCAACTGTGGTAGGTAGTGAGGTGTTCACTGCGCACTGAAGTGGGATGTGGTGCATGCAAGAGCAACAAGTCGAAACAAGCTATTTCAGCTGATTTCAGGCACTAGACAAGGATATACTGCATAGAACTGTGGAAACTGTTTGTAGCGAAATACTTTCATGAAACTTATTTGGAACGTGTTTAACATCATAAAAATAAACAATTACTTAATGTAGTCACTGTTGCTGTTTATCTTACTGGGTTGATCGGAAAGATCCTGCGGAGTTTGAATGCACTGAATTTATCATAAAAAGCCTCTGATAGTATCTCAAGAAGTTATTTATTTTTCGAATAATTGCCCTACAGTCTCATAAAGTTGCCGAGTTATGAACAGAACTTCGGCTCTTTGAGTTCTTTTTGTGTAGAACCGTCGTGGAAGTGTGGAATCAGCAAGAGCATTCTTGAAGCAGTGATTTTCAACAAGAACAAGAGGGCAGCCTAGAACAGGAAAAGGATCCTACTATATACAATTCGCTATGTGTGTCTGTTGGTGTGTCTGTGTGTTTGTGTGTTTGTGTGTGTGTGTCGGTGTGTGTCTGACCGGAAATTCATAACTCCTGTCCCCGTGGACCTGAAGCGTTCAAACTTTGTAGGAGTACGGGGTAGGATGGGAACACCTATGGTGGGTCGCAGGACCGGACTACGTGCACAGGTGGTGAGGCGTGCGCAATATAATTTTCGGGCCGCAAGTTCATATCTCCTGTTCACGTGGACCCAGAGCGTTGAAATTTGGTAAAATTACACTTTTCGTACTAACAGTGGTTTTTCAGCAGTTTATCGAGTGAGGTAGAATATGACGGGATCGTAGGTCCTCGGTTACAAGAACTGATCATAACTTATAAGAGAAGTTAGAGGCCACCTAGCGATCAAAGCCCTATTGTCTTCGGTATCTACGATGTAGCTTTGACCGTTCAGTATGTTTCACTCGATAAGGCGGGATGGTAGAGTAAGGTGACAAAAGTAAGTGGTAAGTGCAGCGATCGGGACCCATTAGGGCAATACGATAAGCAGATTAGAAATTTGTTCATTTCTATTTGTTAGATTACGACCGCTACCCAGCAAGATTCAAGGTTCTGGAATCTGGAATTTTCAACTGATGATATCTCCGTAAAGGAAAGGGTCCATTGATAAAAAACATCGATAACGGTTTTGTTGTATCAAAGGAGGATTTCGAGCTCTGTTTCAATTTCATACTCTCACTCAGCTCAACAGCGGGAAACAACTTAAAAACTATAAACTTGAAAAAAAGGAAAAACGTTCTTCAGTTCAACATTTCTCGGGGTAGGGTGTTCGACACAAGAAGGAGAAGAGCCTAGCGTTAGCCAAGCGATCCGACTGGTATGTGATATCCACGGAGGCAGTGCTCTACTTTGTAAAACAAAGTATGTGGGTGGTTTCAAAACTTAGGCGGAGTGAAGCCAATCTTAAAGATCTGCAGTAGTTATTTGTAGAGAGCTATACAATAACTAATTATACAATATTTTCTGCGAAAAGGACAGTCTTGAGATAGGTGCTCTGTACCAGCATTTTAACCAATCCCCCCCCCCCTTAAGCCGTATTTAAAAGCCTTTAATATGCTTCCGTAGTTAGTAGGAATCTTTCTTGGCTGGGTAGGTTAATTGGGAGAATGTTAACTCAAAGGCAGAGTTCAGATAATTTTGAGTAATCCAGATATGATGAAAAATGGAAAACAAGATCGAAAATAGTGTGATGAAGGTGAAGAAATGAGTGATTGGTGTTTCCAAAGTGAAAAAAAAGCTTCGAAAAACCGTTAAAAAGGGGGCTGGACGAGAATGGTATCAGGAAAGTGATGTTGGGACGAGCTATACAATGTGTCTCACTGCGTGCGTGTGGGTCCTGGTGCGAATAACAGACTAAGGTAAGCAAAAATTCAATCTTTTATAAGCATAAGTAAAGAAAAAAACCCTAGTAATAGCAAAAGTAGCTCATCTTTTTCAGCTTCTAGGAGTAGGAGATTAAATAAGAGATCGCGGCAGCAAAAAGAATAACAGAGGGAAATAGAATGGGAGAAAAATATCGCCTCATCACTCGGCGATCAGCTGATTGTGTGTGGGTCCTAGAACGAATAGTTGCAATCTGTATTGTCTCGACACTGGTCTGGCGTGACATCGATCAAGGGGGTTTGAAGCCAATTGCGGCAGCAGCAGGGCATCCTCTATGCCCTGAGCGCCGAGATTGTGGCAGCGAGAGGACCCCTTCTACCATCCATGAGGGACGCTGAATATTCCTGAGAGAAGACAACAGTAGCCTTTTTTATTGTGAACCGTGCCTTCAAAACGGCTAAGCCACAGCATAGAGAGAAACAGGTCCCGACTTCCAGGACTTTTCTATTATTCCAGAGAAAAAATGTTTTTAAAAGCCTTGGACATGCTGGTGATTGAGAAATGGGACACATCGGTTGTAAATCCAGCCGGCTGGCACACGCTAATGCACACGCATTGCTTTGTGGCAACAGAAATTCGTGTGAAGTTTTTTTTTTTTCTTGTCACAACATCGTAAAACGTGAGGAGAGAATCGGATCAAAAAAGACTTTCATTTTTTTATTCCTGTGGTTTTCCTCGTTCTAATCGTCGCCAGTGAAGAACTCTGCAACACACTTTTTCACATACCACACTAAAGGTGTGTAACTGGATAGGGAATTAAGACCTAAAGGGACAGTTTCATGATTGAAGCTTATCGCAAGTGCCTTGGGGTAGAGTTCACGACCATTTTGAGGTACCCCTTTTTATTCGAAAGGCGGAATATGTGTAGGTTGGAAACAGCTCATTAATAGTAAAGAAAGCGAGAGAACCGCCAGTCGCCGATTTCGAGAAAAATATGACTCCTTAAAAGCAGGAGAAATAGAGGTTGGACGAAATTAACATGAAGGAAATAACATAGATGGGGTATTTTCAATTGTCGCAATTGCGAAGCTGACTTTATCAAGATAGAGCTGTACAGAACTGCCTTTCATTGTCGCTATGGGTCATGAAAAGTTGTTGAACTCCCCACATGCGTTCTCTTTTGATCGGTGCAGCCTCTACAGTGGCGGTGAAATTCGTCCGAAGATGCACACGGTGCAATCTTCGAGCCTTTATTACGCCCCAACTAGGACGCTTTCCAACCTATTAGCATCAGATATGGTATCGTCTATCGAAGGGGGCCTCCAACTCGTCCTATGGGGGAATCTCCGAAACCATTTCTATCGTGATTGCGCCTCCAGGTATAAATTCCCTATTCAATTGTCAAAATTCGCAACAAAAAAATTGTATTTAACGCTGGTCAGGGACCTCACACTTTCGGAGCAGGGTTATATTAGCAGAATTGGGAGCTGGGCGCAACCTGTATTGTAACGATTCAACCATTTGAGAGCCTCAACAAATGCCCTTCCTTATGTTATTGCACTGTCTTCCCCTTCACTGCAGCCGTATCACACTCCTCAAAGTCGTACTATTTCATTTCTCTGGCCTCTCCCCAACATGCTCCCTCTTTCCCACGATCAATGCGGTGGTCGTAGTAATTAAGTAGAAGCCATAGCCGTCGGTGTGGGCACCAATGGTGTAGCGGTATCATTGTACCCTCCCACGGTACAGACCC